GATGTTGAGAAGATGAAGAAGTTTATAACTTAGCTTGTAGGATTAATTTAAGTGGGAGGGGAGCCAAATATTTTGAAGAAACAACCAAAATTTAATATTCTATATAATATTTTTTTAAAAATTTAATATTATATTTAATATTTAAAAGGGGGGGGAGGGGGGGGGGGGGGGGGGAAAGGCCCCCCTTGGCATACCTTTGCCTTCGCCCCTGCTATGGACCAAGTCCGAAATGAAATTCTGATTGTGTATTATAATATACTACAATTTTCTAAGGGTGTGCAAAAATTGATGCTCAATATTATTTCTTTATATTAAAATTTTAGATTTATTTAGTTTTAGATAGTTATAATAATAATAATAATAATAATAATAATAATAATAATAATAATAATAATAATAATAATGCAAACCATTTTTATGAAGGCAAAAACTTGTGTGAGACCCGTCTCACGGATATTTTCGGGTTAATATGAAATTTATACTTACTAGCAAATGTAATACTAAATTAAGAATAAAAATTTTATTATTTATATGGGAAAATGTTATAATCTAAAGTATTATATTTTCCTTTATAAGTAACAAACACTTGTATATTGACCTGGCCCGCCTCACGAATAATGATCCATGAGACAGTCTCGCACAAGTGTGACCCTAACATAAAATAATAAGGATACAGATGAATAAAAATTAAGAAGCTATAGCTAAATGTAGTCTTTCAAAATAAACTTTTATTTTAAGCTACGAGATTATTTTGAAAACATTACTAATAGAACGTATAGCTTATCAATAGCTTGAAATAAGTTATAAGCTCCTAAATAAGTTCGGCCAAACATAGCCTTTGGGATTGGAAATTTAACATTTTGAGAGAAGATAGAAAGGCTTAAAGCCAAGCTTGGAAGGTAAACAAATTCGGACAGAAATTTGGCATAGATTATGTCATTACTACTTCTCTCAATTTGAACACCAAATATTTCTTATTATTTGTATTCAGAACTTGCACTGAATAGTCATCTTATCAAAAATCTGTATAAACATTTGTAGTTCTGGAAGAAAAGGAAGAGTACATCCAGGATCATTAAGTGATCCTCACTATATTAGAAGCACCAAGGAGGCCAATCTCATCAGATCAGATGAGTTCTCAGAAGGTCTTGAATGCTTGTAGATTCGATATGGTTTCCATGAAGTAGTGTTGACTTTGATCCAGCCAGGGTTCAGAGGTTTCCAAGGTTGGCTCTTTCTGCCCGCGATCAGGGATCAGGATTCAGGGCCATGGCTTCTGTCCAGAGTCCCTTCAATATCTTTGAATTGCATGTCCTTGTCCAGGCCGTTTTCAAATCCACCACATATATGGTTATCGCGAATCTCGCCTTCATCTTCTGTCTCTTTCGTCCTCCATGGTTGCCTGCCATGTTAGTCGAAAGCCAGTCATTAAAGTTTAGAGAGGGATGTGTACCTGAATCCAGACTATTATAAACATTGAGTTTGCCCAAGAATTATTTAAAATTAGAACATCACATCAGTTTTTAAAGTGCATGACGTATAAAAAAAAATCTACTTTATACGACAAAAAAACTCAAAATTAAACTCTGATCTTTTAAAAAATATTTTACATATATAAAACTATGTTCAAATATTATAGTTACTAATAATACATAAATTGATATAATTGATTATTTTTAAAGTTAGATACTTTTTTTTTTGGTTGCCCAAAGGTATCACTCCAGCCGATAGCCAGAAGATTAATCTCCCGTCCCAACGGTCAGCACACTAAGTGGTAAGGGACTGGCCAAATGGTTTGCTCCATTCACAAAATAAAAATGTTTTTAGGTTTTTTTTTTTTTTTTTTTTTTTTTTTTTTTTTTTTTAACAAGGTGTAAAGGTTTTGTCGTTTTGATATATATATATATATAATATAATTGTTAATGTTTAGATTTTTTCGATCTGCCACTGAACATGATGACAACTTTCTCACCTTAAAATTGTAAGAAACAATTGAACTTTGAGATAATGTTCAAATTGGCCGTTGATGAATTACACAAAAAACTGTAATTATGTTCCTGAATAACTCAACATTATGTACTTCAAGTCTTAAACCGACATGTTTGACCTGTTATTATTGACATGACGATTAATTTATTAAAAGAAATTGGAGACAAAGACTCTCTGAATAGAGACGAAGAATATTTTTTTTATTAAATTAACTGCCACGTTTGCAATAACTAAGCAAATGAGTCAATTTCGATTTCATTACATAATTTTAAGGGAAAATTGTAAAAAATGCCCCTCTATAATATGCTAATTATCAATGTCACCCCTGAATTATAAGTGGTGTAAATGTTGCCCCTCAATTATCAAAACGATGCACATATAGCCCCTCCCGTAACGGACATGTGGTTTCCTGTTAGTGTATGACACCGTTAAGTCGGAGTAAATATGTAATTTAGTTGTTTTTTCCCTCCCTCGATTTGAAGTACCAGCGATGGACATCGGTGGGGAACCACAGGTCCATTACGGGAGGGGTTATATGTGCATCATTTTGATAACTGAGGGGCAACATTTACACCACTCATAATTCAGGAGTGACATTGATAATTGGCATATTATAGATGGGCATTTTTTACAATTTTCCCTAATTTTAAATTGTTCAAAAACTCAATTATAGTTTTTTGAGTTTGATAATTTAATCTCATATTCAGGTGTATTTCAGTATCTTATTTAAGCAGTTTCTTAGTTACCAAACAACTTCTTAAATTTCTCATCAATCAAGTGAACATGGAATCTTCCTTCTTGAAATTTAAATTTTATTAATCCAAAGAAAGCTACCAATCAATCAATCTTACCATCAGTTGACTAGTTGGTAATTGGGTCATGGGTGTAGAATGTAGACCTTAATTTCCACAACTAATAATTCATCAGATCAGATAAGATCAGATCTTTCTTCTCTCTCTCTCAACTCTCATCCTCCATCTCTGCTCGCTATATACTCATTTCATCTCTGAATAACTCTCATCTCATCTCATCTGAGTTTCAATTCAGAAACACCGGACCTGAGATTACTTCAATTAAGTTTCCATATTTTCTCTGCTCTACTCAGATCATCTCTATCTCATCTCATATTACCCGGCCAAACTCCATCTCCGATCCATCTTCATCAACCTAATTCAGGCCAGGTATGCATATATGTTTCATACTTTCTCCAACATCACTCATTTCCTTTTCTGCTTTCATATATATAGTTTAGCATCACTTTTTGCCCTCTCAATTCCTTTATCTTTGCTGCTTCATATTTATTCTCTAACTAAATTCATAATATATATTTATCTCATTTTCATTGTGTCATTGTGTGATGACTATATATATATATAGAGAGAGAGGTGATGTTCACCACGTAATCTCCCAGTAAGAACACGAGAACTAATATGGTGCATTAAAAAAGACAGATTTGTGATTGAGACTAATTGGTAAAATTAAAAATGTATGTGTGCATATCGAGCTTTATGATGTGTGCATATTAAGCATGTCACTACTGGAAATTTTGAAATTTCTGACCACCTGAAAATGATCTTAAATTAAGTTGATACCAAAAAGTCCAAAAGGTGGTCGGAAATAGCAACAAAGGTTTTTCCGGATACCAAAAGTGGTCGGAACAAGACTTTCAACTTGATTTAAGATCACTTTCAGGTGGTCGGAAATTTCTGAATTTCCAGTAGTGTGTGTTGTATGCAACATAAGATATGAATACAGAACAAATGCCTAATATGCACACATGCCTAACCCTCCATATGCACACACGTGTTTTTAATTCATCATTTAATCTCATCCATAGATCTGTCTTGTTTAATAATGCATCATATTAATTCTCATGTTTTATGGGAAAGGGGTGGTTCTCATATGATCACTAATCTATGTATGTATTCACAAAGACTTGGGGCTCTGTTTGGGAGATCAATAAGATAATATATATTGGTAAGAGTGGTAAAAATAATTTTATTTTCATTTGTAATATAATAGATTTAAAAAATTTTCATACAAACAATTAATATATAGCAGACTCTATATGCAATATATATGCCTTTAAAATTTTAATATAATAGCTCCTCAGCGTACAAAAAAAAAAAAAAAAAAAAAAAAAAAAAAAACTTGTAATGGTTCCATTTTTTGTTGAATCACATCAAATTTAGAAAATGGAAGATGCAATGGTTTTGCTGAGGGTACTATAAATAATTAATTCATCAGCTAGCAGATTAGATTTTAACCCATCTTGCATTGCATGCACCAGGCCACTCACTACACCAAATATGCCATTTAGCCACGGTTACAAACCACTACAATTGTGTTTTCTGGCCGTTATTCAACCGTGGCTAAATAATATGTCGGATTTAGCTACAATTTTCTAAAACCATTGCTAATATTTATTTAATATTTACTTTAAACTTTAGTGATGGTTATTAAGTGTCGCTAGTAAAAGAATACTTTTTAATTCTATTGTTATAAGCATTCCATTTAATTTCTTGGTCAGTAAATTACGTAATTGAGACTAATAACTCTGATATGAGTTCCAGAAACACTTTGGAGAAGTTCAATGGATTTTGATGCTCTAACCACTCTAATCAAAATATTAGAGGCTACAGAGCAAAACCTTATGGAACCCAAAATAGTAGAGGCTGCTGGAGGATTAATGATGGTGCCACTGCGTGAAACGATTGAGTTGTTGTCTTACAATCTCCATTTTCTGCAAGCCTTTTTCATGGAATGTAAGGCGAAAATGAATGATGGGGACACCATGGCTTGGATACAGTATACAGATGTCCAAGTTCAAGATATTCGGAGACTATTCTATTCGGCAGATTGCTGGGAAGGGAATGCTGCATTTAAGCCTTGTGAAGATATTCATCATCGCTTGAAAAGAATAGTAAGAAATATTGAGTTTGCTAAAGATTGTATCCTGGACAAAAACAGAAGAGATGCTTTAGAGACTGAGGAACAGAACATCACAATTTGTGATACCTACCAAAATGCTTTAAAGACTGAGAATGAAGTGATTGTAGAATTCGACACTGATATAGAGACGATAGTTAACCGGCTCTGTTATTCATACTTCATGGGATCAGTTTTAACCATTTGAAGAATAATAACATTGACAAGTTTCGGAAATATGTGCTGAAACTACAAGTTATGCCACTCGTTGGGAAGGAGGCATTGGAAAAACTACATTAGCCAAAAGAGTCTATGAGCATCCAATTACTATTCCTAGCTTTGACATTCGAGCATGGGTAGTTGTGTCTAAAGTTCATAACCTCAAAGAGATGCTCATTGGTTTGCTACGTTGTATTTCACCGATCACTAGTGAAATTTACAACATAGATGAGGCTCAGATAGCTGAGGAATTAAGCACGAGTTTGATGGGCAAGAAGTATTTAATTTTCTTAGATGACATATGGACCACTGCTGCATGGGATGCCATCCAAGGATATTTTCCAGAGAATTTTAACGGAAGCCGAATCCTAGTAACTACTCGGTTCAAAGAGGTGTCTGAATACTTAAGTACGATTCCCTACCTAGTGACGCCTCTAAGTTATTGCTATCGTTGGGAATTATTTTCAAGGAAAGTGTTTGGGCAAAGCCAATGTGTTCCCAGTGAATATAAGCCAATTGGGGAACGCATTATTCGTGATTGTGGTGGATTACCCCTAGTAGTTGTTTTAATTTCCGGACTTTTGGCAACATCAAAAGGGTCTCGAGAAATATGGGGAGATGTTGCCCGAACTTTGGAAGGAGATTGTAGGTATAGTAATCGCTTAAGAATTCCAGAAATAGTTTCATTAAGCTACAAGTACTTACCTATTCATTTGAAGGCTTGCTTTCGTTATTTTGGTGTGTTTCTAGAAGACAGTGACATTCCTGTTAAGAAATTAATCAACTTATGGCTTGCAGAGGGATTTATAAAGCCACATAAGAATATGAGTTTGGAAGAAGTGGGAGAGAGTTACTTGCATGATCTCATTAATAGAAGTCTTGTTCAAATTAATGAGCTAAGTATTGACGGCAAAGTTAAATCATGTAGCATTCATGATCGAGTGCACGAGGTTTGTGTGAGAGAAGCAATTGATGGCAATACATTGTGCATTATCAATGACAACCATGCTCCAAAGGCTAGTCATTGGTTAAGTTGTCAAACAAGTCATTGGCCAATCACTCGGGCGAGCTATGGGAATTGCAGTCCTAATAAAATCCATTCTGTTCTCTGCTTTGGTAAAGATGTAATCCATTCAAAATGCAAGTTTGTATACCCATGTTTGAAATTGCTAAGAGTATTGGATTTATCATTAGTTAAATGCTCACAAGGCATGCCTCGTGAAATAACAGACTTGGTTCATTTGAGATACTTGGCTTTAAGTACCATTGGTTCTCTTTACGAGTTTCGATTTTTCAAGCTTAAGAATTTAATAACTCTCATAGTTACTTCATGGATTGAAAAATGTCCTTTGCAACTGCCATGTGATATTTTGGATTTGCCACAATTGAGGCATTTGCATGTTGACAAGAGATGTTCACAGTATCTCCCTTGCTTAGTCAAAAAAGATCTACAAACTCTTTATTGGTTGAAAGTTGCTAGCTCCGATGACAAACCAAACTTCGGAATGGTTCCGAACCTAAGGGAACTTGGGATTTTCATTGAAGGCCAACTGGCGCCTAGCTATCTAGGGAGCCTTGTGTATTTACATCTACTTGAGAAGTTAAAGTTTGAAGTAGGAAGAGTTGAGCGCTTTAATCTACCAACAGGTTTTCCACCAAACCTTAAGAAGTTGACACTTCGTTATACTTATCTTCCATGGAAGGAGATGGACACAATTGGCAAGTTGCCGCGCCTTGAGGTTCTTAAACTAAAAGATTTTGCCTTTTGTGGCCCAACGTGGGAACCATCGAAGCAAGGCTTTCGAAAATTAAAGGCACTTCTTATTTCACATTCAAATCTCGAACATTGGAATGCAAGTTCTAATCATTTCCCAGTTTTGGAGCGCCTTGTTTTAAGATATTGTTGGGAATTGAAACAAGTTCCAACTAAGTTTGCAAAAATTGGAACACTGAATTTAATTGTATTAGAATGTTGTTATTCTTCTCTTGTGACTTCTGCAGTGCAGATTTCTTCTGCAAAAAGTAGAACATTAAAGGGAAAGGCTCCACTTCGTGTTCGTAAAGTTGGAACTAAGGTTTCTCTCTAATTCTTGTTCATTATTTCAAAATACTAGTTTTCTGCATTCTAATTCCATGTATTAATTAATTATTTGCTTTTTTACTCATTTTCAATTACTTTTCAAGGTTGAATTGCCTATTATTGAAAGCTCTGAAGAAGAAAGTGTCGAAAGCTCTAAAGAAGAAATGATGAAAGCTGATAAGTGTGTGATGAAATATCTGAAGAAGTTATTCTGGTGATGGAATGCATTGAAGAAGAAAGTGCAGTGACTGTGGAAAGGTTATTGCTGAATAAGTTCTCCGGTCTGTTGCCTTTCATGAGTTGATGATGCACTGGCAAATGTTTATGATGTGGATAAAATTAGCCACTTAATTGTCCAGTCCAATCCAGATTGGTGGTGATTTGTCTCTTTGGTTGGAAGAAAACAAACAGAAAGTATTTTTGGTTTTCATTTGATCTGAACAATTTCAGATTTGTGTTAATGTGTTATGATGTTTTTTCTGCTCCAATGGCTAAGTTGTAACAGTCCACACTATTCAATTCACTATTCTTTTACAACATATTCAAATGCTTTTTGGTGCCAATGAAACCTGCATTCATATAGGACCCTGTGTGACCGAACCAAACTTTTTATTTGCGAATTAACCGAACCCAAGTTTTTTCGATTAACCGAGTAATCGAAGTTTTTTTTTAAACTAAATTTTTTAATCTTTAAAATTATAAATAAAAATTAACATTACCAATTACATCAATACCTATAATAATAAATCTATAAGAAAATAGACAATAACAACACTATAAATATAAAAGCATAAATTTAAAAAGTGTAAATATAAATAATAGTTAACCTCTATATATATATATATATATATATATATATATATATATATATATATATATTTAATTTCGATTAACCGATCGGTTAATTCGGCTAATCGATATTTTCAAACCGTTAACAAAAATTTTATAAAATTTATAATCATTAATCAAACCGAATTATTTCGATTAAAAATGATTAGCTGAAGTTCTTTAGTTAAGTCGATCAATCAAATTTTTACCAAAATTTGCACACCTTTACTCAAAAGTTCTCTCACCTATTGGAGTAATTGCACTACTTTTTTGGATGGACTCTTCTTTTAGATCTGACTCAAATACTTATCATAGCCAGTCCAGATTATCTTTTATGAAAGAGTGGACCAATATAAGAGAATAATTAATGAGTTGAATGTTGAAAAGTTAAATAATATTGAATTGTGTTGTCTCAAGGGCTATGTTACTGTCCAAAAGGTAATTGTTACAAAAACTAATTAAAGGTGACAAAGTAGGGTAACACTTGTATAAGACCATCTCATGGATCTCAATATGTGAGATAAGTCAAATTTTTAATTAATGAATCAAATCTTTGATTAATGGGTCAGATCTTTGACCTCATTAATCAAAAACCGTGAGACGATCTCACACAAGTTTTTACCTATTTCAAAATATTGATTTTCTACTCTCTAATTTCATGTATTAATTTAATTATTTATTTTTGTACTCATTTTTTTTATTACTTTTCAAGGTTGAATTGCCAAATAATGAAAGCATTGAAGAAGAAAGTGTGGAAAGCTCTGAAGAAGAAAGTGTGGAAAGTTCTAAGGTTTCTCTCTAATTCATCCCCATTATTTCAAAATATTAGTTTTCTTCCTTCTAATTTCATTTCTTAATTATTTTTTTTACTATGTCATTTTCTATTACTTTTTGATGGGGATATCATGAAAGCTTGGGGACTAGAGGTTGAGTTTGGGAAAGAGAAGAGGTGGTGATACCGAATTCTACTTCCTTTAGGCATCAAGATACCTAAAAGAAGTGGGGGACTTGTGATGGGGATATCATGAAAGCTTGGGGGTTAGAGGTTGAGTTTGGGAAAGAAAGGAGGTGGTGATACCGAATTCTACTTCCTTTAAGCATCAAGATGCCTAAAAGAAGTGGGGGACTCGTGATGGGGATATGGGATCCCGGGGATCCATTTTATTGGAAAGTATGGACCCATGTTGGGGTGGTGAAGAAAAGAGGTTGACCCAAGAGAGAAGTAGTTTCTAGGGCTTAACCGCCGGCGGCTGGCCGGAGTGGCGGCCCGTCGGATTCCCGGCGGCGGTGCGCCTCCGGTAGTGCCGGCAGCACCCCACTACCGCGGCCAGTAAAGGCCCCTGGCCATGGTAAAAAGGGGTAACAAGGAAAGGCACAGCCAATGGGTTTCAAACCCACGCCCTCCCGCATAGCAACGTGAGACCAAGACTATCAGACCACACCATCACATGTGTATCAAAGCGCAACAGCATATATTTGTTCCGATAATCTCGGGCGGGCAGCTCTACCACCGGCCATGGCCGGCCGGCGACTGACCGGCGGCGTGTCCCGCCGGCCACCTCAGGCCGAGGCGCGGCCAGCGGGGGCGGTGCGCCCCCGTCGACGGCACCCCCCCCCCCTTTCTCAAGGGGGTGCGGGGCGGTGAGCATTCCCGGGATCGCGTGGTGCAGGCGGTATGGTGTAGCGCCACGGTGAACGTGCCCGCTTGCGTAGCGATAAATGGGGGAGTGGTGATGGATTACGTGGGACACGTGGACGCCAATGGAGGAGAGGGGTATGCTATAAATAGGGGTCCTGGATCCTTAGCAAATGGCAACTCAGACACGACAGGCACAACGGTCTAGTGGTCTTGATCTCATACTGTCAATTCAGTCACCTGGGTTCGATTCCTACCTGTAGCATAGTTAGCTATAGCCCATCCTGTGGGCCTTGTTCTTTGTATTTGGGCCGCCATTCTGGGCCTGTACCTCGGGCTTTTGTACGCATTGTTCTGGGCCTAGCGCCCTACCCCCGTTTTGTATCTCTGTACCCGGTCCCAATAAAACCATCATTTTTCAAGGTTGGATCACCAAATATTGAAACTTTGAGAAGAAAGTGATGAAAGATATGAAGAAGAAACTATGGATGACGAAGAAAGTGTGAAAAGTTGTAAACAAGAAAGTATGGAAAGCTCTAAAGAGGAAAGCGTACATACTGCTGCAAAAATCTGCAAATCCAAAAAGAAACACTAGCGGATATTTAATGAGGACGGCACTCACGTACACAGTCCAAGGGAGGAAAAAGCTACAATCAAGGACTTCTTTGTTTCCCTCTTTACAAAGGATTCGGATCAGGAAACTGTTCCGCTGCATGGTGGCACATTTCCAACTATTCCGGATGACCTTTGGAACAATTTCAACAAGGATTTTACTATTGATGAAATAAGAACAACCCTTTTTGAAATGAGTCCGTTAAAAGCCTCGGGCCCGATGGTTTTCATGCTTGTTTTTATCAGAAATCATGGGACATTGTAGGCACTTCTGTCTACAAGAAAGTAAAGAATTTTATTGAAAAAGGAAGACTGGAGGAAGGGATGAACGACACTCTCATTTCTCTCATCCCTAAGAATGCTTGCCCAGCTAGTCCTAGCCAGTTCATACCAATCACCCTATGTAATGTTCTCTACAAAATTATTACCAAGGCAATGACTAATCGCATTAAACCAATCTTAAGAGATGTGGTCGGCATTGAACAAAGCAGCTTCGTCCCAGGGACACAGATTGTGGATAACATTCTTGTGTACCAAGAAATACTCCATTCCATGAGAACGAGACAGGGTGAGAAAGGCTATATAATTTTAAAAGTGGATATTGAAAAAGCTTACGACAGACTGAACTGGGACTTCATCCGTGACACCCTCCAAAAAGTTGTTATGAATGAGACCTGGGTCAGAAACATTATGCATTGTGTTGAAACTCCGAGACTTGGTATTCTCTGGAATGGCGATCAACTAGATTGGATCAACCCTAGCAGGGGCATAAGACAAGGGGATTCAATATCTCCTTACCTTTTCATTCTATGCATGGAACGCCTTAGCCATATTATTAAAGAGAAAATTCAAATTAAGAGATGGAAAGGTCTAAAGACCAACAGGTATGGCACAACCCTTTTCTCATTTATTTTTTGCTGATAATTTGGTCTTTTTTGTATAAGCTACTCAGGATCAAATTCTAATCATCAAAGAATTCTTGGAAAGGTTCAGCAAAGCTTCAGGACAGAGAATTAGCCTAAATAAGTCTCAGATTTTTTTCTAAAAAAACATCACCAGCCAAGAAATGAATGCTATAAGTGCAATTGTAGGGATTCCAGTTACTCCAAATCTAGGAAAATACCTCGGAGTTCCCTCGATTCATGGGAGGACTACCATTAACCTGTATGCCCCCATTCTTGATAAAATTGATGCAAGACTAAACAGCTGGAAAGCTAAGTTTCTCACTCTAGCGGGATGACATGTTCTTGCTCAATCAGTCCTCCAAGCCATACCTTACTACACCATGCAAACCACTTACCTACCTGCAGGAATTTGGGAAGCAATTGATAAAAGAATCAGGAAATTTATTTATGGAAATACGGATGATAATAGAAAATCCCATCTTATTCATTGGGACAAAGTGACCCAACCAAAGGAATGGGAGGTCTTGGCCTCAGGTCCTCTAAAGATACTAATCTTGCTTTTATGGCTAAGCTAGGGTGGAAAATGTTGATTGATAGAACAACCCTTTGGAGAAAAATTCTTAAAGCGAAATATGCTAGAGGTGAACATGGTATCAACATGTTCCAATCCGAGAATGGATCTTCAAATGTGTAGAGGGGCATCACGGCTGCCATGCCCTTAGTTGCAGCGAATTTACAACACATTGTGTGGAGTGGAAAAGGAACTCGGTTCTGGAAGGATGCTTGGATCACCCCCGAACCTCTGCATGTTTACAACACCAATATCGGCCAAGATGAAGAGAACGACCTGGTGTCTCAACTCTGGGATACGACGACCGGTTGGAAATGGGAAAAGCTAACCAACATTCCGGCGAGTATAAAGACGAAGCTCAAACTGGTGGAACTCAGGGATGGAGAAGACGATGTTGCATGGAGCATGGAGCCTTCAGGTACGTTTTCTATCCGATCGGCGTATAACACGATTCATGAATCTGTCTCGTCTGTGCAGGACCCTATTTGGAAGCACATATAGAGGATTAAAACTCCCCCAAAATGAAGACTTTGATGTGGACAATTCTCCATGTGATACGATCCTAGGGTTTAAAACTTGAGATAGAGAGAGAGAGAGAGAGTGTGAGAGAGAGAGGGAGATGAGAAAGAAAACTGTTTCTGCATTACAAAACTGAATGAAGAGTCTCAGTGCACATTTTGCTTATTTAAATCAACTGATTGTAACTAACAAACAGACATTAGTAAAACGGTGTCGTTAGATAATCTTCTAACTGTGCTTTAACTTCCTGTGTCGTTAGACAATCTCCTAACTGTGCTTTAACTTCCTTTTCAAACGACTGTGTTTTGCTCAATGGCTAACCACTTTACCCGCTGCGACATCATACTACGTCGTTTGCTCCTTCTTCTTCTGGATCAACTTCCGAAATCATTACATTACCTCTTCCTTGCAAAGATCCTTGACCCCAAGGATCAAACCCAGGAAATTGCTTCTTAAGGTGGTAGAAGTCTTCCCAGGTCGCAGCTTCTTCTGGCAAGTTGGCCCATTGCCCCAAGATTTGTCGTTACGGCCTTGTTATCCCTCTTCACTAATCTTCTGTTTAAGACTGCTATTAGCTCAGCAAGTACTTCCCCTTCCTTTCCCACAGTAGGTGGATCAGACTGGAGTGCTATCTGTTCTCCCACCTTCTTTTTCAATTGAGATACATAGAATACCGGATGGATTTGGGCACTAGGAGGTAAGGCCAATTTATAAGCCACAGGTCTTATCCTTCCAATGACTTGATAGGGTCCATAGTACTTGGAGGTAAGCTTGACTCTTACAGCCACTGATAATTTCCTGTAGGGTTGGATTTTCAAATACACCCAGTCCCCAACTTGCAATGTTCACTCGCTCCTTCTTTTGTATGCTTGCTGCTTCATTCTGCTCTGAGCTATTCTCAAATTGTCTTTGAGTACTGCTATCATAGCTTCTATTTTAGCTACCCACCCATCCTTTCCACTTACTTGCTCAATTCCCAGAGCTAACATAGGAGGTTTGTAGCCATAAAGAGCCTGAAATGGAGTGCATTGTAAGGATGATGGAAGTTGGTATTGTACCAGTATTCTGCCAAGTGTAACCACTTAAGCTAGGCCTTTGGTTTGTTGAATACCATGCACCTTAGGTAAGTGTCTAGGCACCTGTTTATTCTCTCAGTTTGGCCATCTGATTGAGGGTGATAGGCAGTTGACATACTCAATTGAACCTGTAACTGCTTGAAGATGGTTTGCCAGAACTTACTGAGAAATATTTTATCCCTATCAGTTACAATATCTATAGGTAGCCCATGTAACTTGTAGATATTTTCCATGAAAGATGTAGCTACAATGTTAGCAGAATAGGGATGAACTAATGCAATAAAATGGCTATATTTAGTGTGCCTATCCACCACCACCAAAATCACATTCTTTCCTTGGGACTTAGGTAAACCCTCAATGAAATCCATTGAGATTCCCTTCCAAGCTTGATTAGGAATAGTCAATGGTTGTAACAACCCAGGGGAGGCAATATTCTCAGACTTGCATCTTTGGCAAGTATCACAGCTTTCC